GTCAGGGCTCTCCGGAAATCAAGGCCTTTGGACGACTGGATAACAAGATATCCTTCCTTGCCATGGTAACTCCCTTCGGCGGCAAGACGGACACCCAGTGCCGAAAGCTCGAGGAATTTGCACAGGCGGTTGCTATCTGGCTTAAAGATAAGAAACCGGATTAGCTTCTGTAGGTACGATTCCAGCTTCTTTCGTTGCCTCTCCGGGTAAGTCTCTTTCTTGTTAGCGAACCCAGCTTCTACCGGCCCGGATGAGCCTGCAGGATTCTCTCCATCTGGGATTGTCGCACTCGACTGTCTGCGAGACATGCCACCAGATGGGCGCCGCGGTAATTGCTGGTGCTGCTTCTTACCGCCCCTTTCGTTGCCGCTTGTTACCTCAGCCGCCGTCTCATATCCACCATCGTCCTCCTCATCTTCCATGTCACTTTCTAAGCCGCGCACACCTCGAAGATATGGAAACGCACTGCGGGGAAAGCGCGGGAGGTTCTGTCCACTCTCAGTGTTCCGTAATTGAATGTACTTCTGCGTTCCAAAGTGCAGCTTGTACTTCAGATGAATATTGGCGAAATCCCTCAAGGTACGGTGTATAATCCACTTCATCCGGGTCATTCCACTTCCGTACTCGAGCTCGATACGAAAAACCAGATGACGGTCGCCGGAGTGTGAATCGATCTTGCTATCGGTGACCCGCACCTTGAGCTGTTCGAGTAATATTGGAATGCGCTTGCTTCCATGCTCGTCCCTCTGGAACATGCTGGCTAGAATGAGGGCGGCCGGCACCCCGGACGTAAGTTCTGCCAGAAGTTCTGCTGATTTTGCATGATCGACCGTATTATCCACCTTGCGTCTCTGCCCGATCAACTTAAGTCCAGCTTTGATCTGACGCCACTTTTGAGCGCTCAGGCTAGAACCCCGATCAGCCCGGTGGCGCCGCCAAGGTGGCGCGGTACCCTCGGTGTTGTCAGATGGGCCAGCCAGCCCTGTCAGTCTTCTGAGGTTGCTCGGTCTTCTCTCGTCGGGGTTCGTCGGAGTGTCCAGCTGACGTCCGCCATAAGTAAGTCCCCTCGCATTCGCAAGCCAGACACTTCTTCGCCTCCATGCCGTATCCCTGTTCAACCGGTCGCGACCCTCATCTTCCGAAACTCCCTCCCGCTGCTGCGGGATAAAATTCCCAGTGCTCCCCCGGCGCGGGAAGAAGTTCGACCGGTAATTCTCGAAGGGTGCAAATGAGCTGGGCAAATGAAACGACGGGCGAGTAGTAGCCTTTGGTGTATTTGGCTGCGTTTGCGAGGTCGACTCATCTTTTTGACGTCTGCGTTGTTTCTTCTTCTTCTTTGGCTGGTGGACACGGTTCTCCCCTGCGCTCTCCTCCGCATCGGCATCAATGTCGCTTCCCTCCTCTTCCAGGGTGTTTGGGAAACGAAACTCGCCCCGCTCCGAACTTGGAGTTGCTAGATCATTGTTGGTCGCTCTAAAATCGCTCAGGGTTGCGCCACTGGCTGAGCGGGAGTGCGAAACGAACGAGGGTGAGGCTGCGAATGATTTCAACTTCGTGAGTAAAGACTGTTTCCCTCTCAATCCCAGATCCGTGTCATCCCCCTTTACTGATGGCGGCCTAGAACTGGGTAGCTCGGTGAGGGGGTCGACTTCGGGAGGGTCTCGAGTAAACTGAACGCTCGGACGGCGGCTCGCGGCTGGCAGTGGCGGTTGCGGCTTCCTACTTCCGGACGTTTGCGATCCCTCGGGCGTCTCATTCATTCTTCGAGGCATCAACAAGCCAGGATTATCACCAGAGATAGCATTCCCGGATGTCGTCCAATCCTCCGGGTAGCCGCTAGCTTGTCCTGCACGCGCTTTGGATTTATTTTTTGTTAAGGTTTCCGCCGTGTCCTGCAGAGGTGGCAAGTCATTCAACTGATCGTGTTCCTCTTCCTCCGCTAAATGCTGCGTGTCTGTTTTCGGAATTATCGAGGGAGACGATGGATTTGAAGAAGAGAGCTTGGTTCCGTCTGATAGCGATATAGGCTCGGGCCTTCTCCAATAATGTCGAGCTTGGGTGTTCTCCGAGCTCCTTGCCTCAGAGGGTTCTGTTAAGGGGTCTGTCATGCTGGCAGTGAAGCACCAGTTTCAGCAAGCGAAGATTGACACGAGTAAACAGAGACAGACGTACATGCGGATCAAAGTGATCCCGTCGGAAGCGGCCACGGAGCTCAATATGTGCTAATCATTCTAGATCTGAAGATCAATGTCGAGGTTCAAGGTATTAGACGACGTAATCGATGATGCTTGTTCGAACCAGGACTGACGAATAAAGAGGAGAATAGTAGGAAAGGGGAGGGAACGAGAGAAAGGGGAGGGAGGGCTGGTGGTGGTGGTGGTGGTGGTGGTGAAGAGAGAGATTAGATTGCGAAAGGGGAGGATGCTGGGCGATGTTTGTAGGAGGAAAGTTAGACTAGTAGGTTAAACCTCCCGAGGGTGGTGGGTGGAGTGGAGTGTTTGCCCCATACGGTCGGTATCTTAGGTACAGTACTCCGTACTCCGTACTACAAGTATAAGTAGATACGAATTGTGGATAGAATCTGGAATGGCGACAAAAGACCAAAAGACCAAAAGACCCGCTTTGGTCAATCTGTCTGTAAATTAGAACTTGTAGGACTAGGACTGTACAGCTTGGGAAGCTTCACTCTCTCCACGAGACAGTTGTCTAATTCTCAACAAGCAGTTCGGAAATATCCTATCTCCTATGTTGCTTAAAGCTACTCACTCCCCCAAACCAGGCAGCCTCAGTACCATACGGTATGATACACTACAAATGCTTGCATACAGATAGATGCATACAGGTAGATCTCATACCAACTGAGAGAACTCTCAAGAGAACAGTAGTTGCAGGAATGAATGGATGATCGTCACGCAGATAACAAGTGGTATGTACAGTATTCGAATGTATTTTACTTATCCTCGGCTACTGTCCACTGTACAGTACAGTACTTAACCCAAGGTTGAAACTGCTATATGAAGAGTGAGTGGTGTGTACTGTACCTAAGGTAGTATTTATATATCACTTCCTCATTCCCTGAACATATTAAATCTCTCCACCCCTCCATCTTCTTCCGAACAATAAACAAAGACGAACCACAAGGAAAAGACCCCCAATATCCACTAGACCGCAATTGCGGCCACGCGTCAGCAAGAAAAATATATATGCAAAGTGTTCTTCTAGGAACATCGACTCATTCGAGAACATGACGGACCCCATGAAGCCTCTGGCTGCAGCGCCGCGCTGTGACCTTGACAACACCAGCGCGCCGTCGTCCGTGTCTCATCGGCAATTTGCCATCGCGGGAATTCTTACGACGGTATTCGGTCTCGAAGAATTACCGTCAGAAGCGGCTGAGGTTGCCTGTCTTTGGTTACTACACCCAAGACTGGCTACCCAAGAACGCATGACCAGTATCGCTACGGCAGTCATCGCCGACTGGAATTCCAAGTTCCAGGACGCTTCCTCCGATTCAAGTCGCCCTGTCAAAGGCCTTATTGCCGTAGCGTTCGACCAAAGAAACCATGGGACAAGGCTGGTTGATCCCCTAGCCAACGAAGCTTGGAAACAAGGAAACCCTCGTCATGCCCAAGACATGTTCTCAATCTTCCGTGAGTGCGCACTGTGTATGCTGATCCAGACCAACAATAGCTCTAATCTCTGTCCTGTAGAGGGCACTGCCCGTGATGTGTCTCTCTTGATCGACTATATCCCATCTTTTGTCTTCCCTAAATCAGAACGCAAGATATACGATAACTTGGTTCTGGGTGTTTCTCTAGGCGGACACGCTGCCTGGAGCTGCATCCTGCATGAGCCCCGCATAAGTGCGGGCGTTGTCATCATTGGTTGCCCTGATTATGTGAATCTCATGGCCGATCGCGCAAGATTGTCCAAGCTGCCGTCCTGGACAGACAGCGAAGCTCCTGGCTCCAATTTCTTGGGCTCTGAGGAGTTCCCGGTCTCCTTGCTCGATGCCGTTCGTAAATATGACCCTGCGAGCTTGTTCTTGAGCCAAATGAACTCAACGTTGATACCTAGCGCTCTCCGCAACGAATCCCTGCTGGATACCACAGAAAGTGAGAAGGCCTCCCTACGTCCTTTACTTGAACGTTGTTTAGCAGGGAAGAGAATCCTTAACCTATCAGGCGGGATGGATAAACTGGTACCCTACCACCGAGGAAGCGCATTTTTGAATTGGTTGAAACAGGCAGTCTCATCCAGTGGGTGGTTTGCTGATGGGTTGGTCATTTTTGAAGATATTATTGATGAGCACGCTGGACACGAGGTAACTCCCAAAATGGTCAATGAAGCGGTCCGGTTCATTCGCGAGACACTCGAGACCAATAGTGCGTGTCTCAAGACGGGTTCCGTACGAGAGGCTAAGATCTAGATATACCACAAGATGATCGAATACAACTACGTATTTCGCTACTGCCAGACGTAGAAGAAAACACTACGTATCCTGCTGTCCAATTGTGAAGGCACACAGGATAGTCAAGCAACTGAGCAGGCTCATGTTACTCGAACACATTTAGTGATAATAGAGGGCAATGTTGACTGGACTATTTGGTCTAGTGCGGATGATGACAACGCATCAGTGAATGGCGATGGGAATCGACGGCGAGAAGCGGAATAGCCCATGACATCAAGTCGAAACGAGCATGACAACAGTCGAGGGATGAGTCCAACGGGCGAGAGAAAGTAGTGAAAAAAAATTTAATCCTCCTTCGTGGTATTGTTCGATAAAATTTGGTCGTGAAATTGTCTGGCGGCCATTTAAAGCTCGTCACCAACTAATCACCCTTTGTTTTGTAGATACACGGACCAAGGTGCCCGATCCGCAGCTCCCATTTGAAGTTTTCATCACCAGGGGAGATAATTGACCCTCTATGCCCTGAGCCGTAGCCAGCGCAGCACCTGTCCCAGTCTAATCCTTCAAGCAGAAACGCCTATTTCCACATTTAAGCAACAAGCTCAACGACACCACCAGCCTCCTTAATCTTCTTCTCGGCGTCACGGCTGAAGTAACGGGCGCGGACGACAATGGGAACCTCGGGGAGACGGCCCTTGCCCAAGACCTTGGAGTAACCGAGGGAAAGGAGGTCGATGACAGGGGCGGTGTCGGTCTTCTGGCCGCTCACATAAGCATCGCGCTGCTCGGCGGGAACGAGAGACCACAGCTGTAAAAGAAACAAACGGATTAGCGTTTACTCGTGGTGCCCCATTATTCCTTCACAAGTGAGGATGCCGTCATGTCTCCATCCAGACTTGTTTATCGAAATCCCACCGATTTGACCACCGTTCACCGGACTGATTCCGATCCTCCCTCTCTCCGCCGATGTAACGTACCTTGTCGATGTTGATGGTGGGCTTCCAGAACTGCTGCTGGGTCTTGTGGAAGTATCTCATTCCGACCTTACCGAAGTAACCAGGGTGGTACTTGTCAAGGTTGGTCCGGTGGTGGTGCTGACCACCGGCCATACCACGACCACCGGGATGCTTACGGTGCTTGCCAATGCGACCGTAACCGGCGGAAACATGACCGCGGCTAGAAAACAGAAATGTCAGTCTCCTATCCTTCTTTTTGATATTTTCGGCACTTCTCCGGAGAGCGCCGGACAAAGCATATGCCTATCGCATTCCACCACGAAAACCGCGAGATCACGATCGGAAGGCATTAAGGCGAAGGGGGGAGGGGGGGAAAGCTTTTTCGACTCACGCTTTCCTTGTCTTCGAAAAACGGGTAGGCATCTTGTCGACGGTGCTGAGCTCGACAAGACCGGTCTGAGAGTTTGGCGATGGGGGGGATGCGGTCGTGGGTGCTGGGCTCAGATGTTGAAATCAAGGCTTGGGGGAGGGGGCTAGAATGTGCGCTAATTTGCTTGCCCTAACTTAGGGCCCTGCCCTTCAGATGAGCCTTGGCGTGTCCTGGGGCGGATATATCACGTGACTCTAGTATGATCGGCATCGGATCGGCCAGTGCCAGTTGGCGATTTCGTCCACTAACTTCGGTAGTTGGCCCGGAGTACTATAGTGTTCCAAGTTGCTACTACTTTAGGTAAGGTAACTACAGGTACGTACGTATCTGTACCCAGTCAACTACAGAGTGCTAAGAGGGACTTATTTTTATATTGCTTTGGTCTTCAATTGCTCACATAATCATCGCATTCTGCTGTTTACACGTTGCTTATCACCTCTGAAGAAATCAGACAGGCTCTGAATCGCCTTACCTGCGGGCTGATTAACAGAAGCAGTGGCCATGCTCTGCTTGATCCAGGCCGGAAGCTTTCCACTGATATTGGTTCGATCATACCGTCTATCCATCAAGACAATAGCGGCGTAGTCATTGCGATGCCTGATAGCTCGTCCGATGCACTGATTCACTGCCCGCATACAAGCGTTTTCGTAATATTCTCTCCCTGCAGCTTTGGCGGCTGACCGCCGACTGGCTTCGGAACCAACTGCTTGGTCAAACGCTTTCTGTTCAACATACTCAATTTTTGCTTGCCAGACGGCACTCTGAATGTTCGGAAACGGCAGTCCGATGATGACTACGCCACGTCCAAGTCGATCGGAGAAATTGATCCCTTCGGACAGCTTCCCACCCACCACGGACAATAGTAGCGCACCACTACTCGAATCAATGAGCTCGGCGTACCTCTGAAGCAACTCTTCTGTTGATTCAGCCATTTCTCGTGACTCAGAGAGGACCGGCTTCGTTCTATAGATTAGCTCGTATACGCTCTGGCCCCGCTCGCCTTCTATCGGCTTTTTCCACACGTTCAACACCTGGCCCAGGTAATCGTAACTGGGGAAGAAGGCAACAACGCCATCAGGAATCACATTGCAGACGGACGCTATTGTTCGACCGAGGTCAAGTATCTGAGTGATTGCCCAGAAGCATCAAAGAGGTGCGCCGGTTAGTTGCGAAACGTTCTCCCATGAGCTTTTGTACAGATCACTTACCATCGCCTCGGAGTTTCGAGACCCATACGTGAACTCGAGATTCAAGCCTTGTACGCCACGCCCTAACGTGTGTACAGTCAAGTTCTCCGACGGAATGACATGGCCGTAACTGAAGGTATTGATTCGTTCAGAGGGGACATATGAGAACAGATGATTCATGTAGTCTGCCATCTACGAAAGCTGTTAGACGGACAAATCCAAAAGACGATTCACTAGACATGTGCAGCGGGGTCTTACCGGGGACATCGTGCCACCAGCCAGTATGACAGCTCTGGCATCTTCAACGATATCGCGGAATTGGTTTGTCGGATCAAGAAGCATATATTTCAACTGAATTTCATCCTTGTCTTTCAGATAAAATAATCGCCCCTCAGCAGACGGGTTCATCAATGACAGCAGGAATTCCTGTATGTGGAACAGTATAGGTGTGTTATATTTCCCAGAAGCCCTGGCTCTTGTTGCTTCTTTCGTGAATTCGACGTACCCATCGACTTTTCTGGCGAGTTTACTCTCCTGGAGGTATCGACTTAGTTTGTAGGGGTTAATCTGGTCCACGCCCTTCCCAGACATGAGCTCTGAAGGCAGGACACGCCCTTCAGGTGGCCCATTGCCGGCCAGCACAGAGCGAAGGTGATGTGTAATTGAGCCGAGGAGCCGGATTATCTGAGCAATATAGCTCCTGTTTCGTCCTTTCAAACGGGTCTTAAACTTGCGGGCGTAGGCCGTCAATTGTGAGATGGACAACTCGAATTGGGAAAGTGTCACAGTTGCGGAATGAATGTTGGATATCGCATCCATCAGATTATGTGCTTCATCAATGATGATGATATGGCCCTTGATTGACAGTCCAAGTGCTTCTCTGGCTGATCGCTGAAGCAAGAGAGGATATGGAAGAGTGACAATCTGCCCTATTTCAGCCGTGTGTTTTGAATAAACAGTTCAACGGAAGACCCACCTCGCTATGTCTAATGACCGATCGAGAAGCATAATAAGGACATATTCCAATCTCCTTTCCGACGTTTCCTAAATCTTCAATATCTTTCACAGTCGCAAGTGCATGATCGCGGAACCTAATAGCACGTGTCTCGTCTTCTTTTGACGGAAGATAGGGGCATTTGTGTTTTGTGGCTACTCCAGGTTGCTGCAATTCGAGACAACGTTCATTGATTGCTGTTGGATTCTCAAGTGAAGATACCCGTGTATTGATGCAAAGGTTCTTCCGGGATCCGAGGGAGAGGTGTCTAATGCGTTCCTCCAAGGCCTTGCTTCCATCACTACTAGGTACCATATCTTCTGGAATACTCGATGGCATGGCAATGCGTCGTAATTCACCTGCAAACTGGGATAGTTGAGAGTGAGTCCGAGAACAAAAGAAGATCTTAATCTCATCGTCTTGGTCACTGTCTGCATCGCATTTAGCAGTAGATTGCCCTCCGAACCTTTTAAGCAGTTCAAGTGTGCTGGAAGAGAGTCCACTGTCAGGTCGCAAGTGCTTGGTTGAAAGACCTGGTTGATCATTGTCGCTATCATATTCATCTAGAAGGAATTGATCTTCGTGCAAGGGCAGCCCAGTGGATGCCTTGCTTAGTTTCTGATAGTCTTCAGTCTCATTATTCTGCGACTAGGACTTAACAGTGAACCTACCTGCTTTTTTCGGGGTCCTTCTGGATTTTTCACCACAGTGATTTGCTTCTCTTCTTTGACCTTTGTCCTCTCTAAACGTTCCTCGAGCTCCCTCCTTTTCTCGAGCATTGAGCGACTCAACTCGCTCTTGGCAAATTCCAGCATCCAGTCTGGCTCACTCTCGTCATTGCCTATCGCTAAGGTCAGAGGCAATAGCAATGCATAGTTATGTAAATTCGCAGTTCTCACTAAGTGTGTGATCAATGGTATATTGAAAAGCAGAACGCTTGTGGTCACGCAGCCAAGTCAAGGAACCGCATATCAAACTTAGAGATTTACCCTACGGAATATGTCAGTGGCGATTCATTTGCATGGCTCCTGACCACTTTCAAATCCAGTAAGAAGCAGGTTTCACGTCGAGCCTCTCAGAGATTCTAGGCGGTGATTTCCTTCGATGACCTAAGCTACGTAAGGTGACTTGGATTCACTCACAGTGCCTACCACCACCAAGTTAGCGGGGGTCGCAAGGCCTTTGCGTAGTCACGAAGTCCAACTCACCCGTTGGGGATTCAAAAATTGCTACTTTTCCATCCTCAAGACACGTGTAAAGCGCTCTCATGAACTGAATTTGAATGTTATAGGGCGAGTAAGGGTGGTGGAAGTCTTTGGTCTGCAGGTCCATTGTTTCCAGATGGTTAATGCTGAATTCATAGGCTGATTCCACGAAAGGTACTTCGAGATGTCCAGATCAAGAGACGACAGTGGCGAATTCAAGTGACTAGATAGTTTACTAGATGAGTAGAGACTTGAAGCTGTGGACTTTGATGCGAGGGTGGAGTATGTAGTCCTTTCTGAGTTACGACGAAGAACATACAAAGAACTTTCCACAAAAGATCAGAGGCCCCACATATATAACTTACTAGTCAGTATTCTACCTAACTTAGTTGTCGCGCCCCAAAACTTTTAGTAGCTCACCTAGAACCCAGAACCTAGAACCTAATAACGCTCGACTTGCTATCTTGAGGTTGAAGAACGTACAGTACTGATTTTTTTTTGTACGCAATGAGTACTAGCAAGTAGAAATATATTTGATTCCTCTAGTTCTTGGTGCTCAACTGCATATTAGGTTGGTGACTGGTAAAGGAAAACAATTTAGTGATTTGTTTGCAGGTAACGTAATCGGACACCGAGCCGGCGCGACACCGAGCCGGCGGCGGTCTGCCGCCGCCTCGCTGACTGCCTCGCTGGCCGCTTCCTAAGGCTATTCAACCACCAAAAAAAGGCTATATACATCAATTCTTGTTGTTTTCATGAGGGCATTTTAAACGATTGTGTCCTTCACTTCCACATATACTGCAGCGGGCTGGCCGGCGTGCCCTGGCCGGCCTCGGTACTGCGGCCTGAATTGCTTCATTTTCTCGCATCTGAGCTATATCAAAGCCCTCTTGGCCTGTTAAAGTGCCTCCCTGCTATATATAACGGCGTGAGGCCTTTCCCTTTCCTTTTTTACTCGCTTGTATAGATTGGAACTGCTTAATTTGTTGTTGAAGCAGGA